CATTTGCTATAGAGTTTTTTCTTAAGAATTGAAGCACATGGCATTCCACTTACTATATAAGGTAACTAGTCACATGCTCGCCAATTTTTACTATAAAATTTGTACCCTTTAACTCCGAACTACTAATTAAATTTTAAAAATTTTAATACTATATTTGATATTATATTAGTGAATTAATATATTTATAACCATGACTACTGTAGTTATATTCAATAATTCTGCAATAACTCAAAATTTTACTAGTATAATACCTGTTGTATAACTAAATAAAAATGCTTCGCTTACAATTTTACTTTATTTTAATACCAAACTCTAATCTTAATCTAACTCTAACCTTAATTCTAACTCTAATCCTAATATTAATATGGCTGCAAAATTTCTCTATAAAAAAAACTATTTTAATAGTATAGTTACATGTAGCCTATAGCTACAAATATATTAATTCTAAATTAATCATAGCTAAAAATTATTTAAAAGTAAGTATACAAATTAAACTAAACAAACTCATTTTACTCTTTTTACTAATCCTCAAAACCAAATTTGAAGCAAAAGAAAATCTAAAGTTAGAATATTTCCTAATAAGAAAATTGTAGAAACAATATTAAAGAAAAAAAAAGAGCAACAAAAACTAAACAAAGTTGTTTAGAAAAGTTTTGTTTGATACTAGCTTGAACTTGTATTATAAAGAAAAAAGTAAACTTTTAAAAAACTTTAAAAAAAATTTTTTTTTAAAATCCAGAAATTTGCCCTTTATTCTGTACTTAGGGTTTGGGGCATGCTTTAAAAATTAGGCATACCCTTAGAGGCATTCTCTGGGTTGAGGGCATACCCTTTTATACTCATATGATAATAGACTAATTATAAATGTAAAAACAATAATTAAGTAGAGAAAAAAATTAAAACACTCATATACAAGTATGCCTTGAGCTAAGACATGCTTCTTATACCTACAGAAATATTCTTTTTTAAATTATGTAATTAACATATAGTTTGCAACTTTCTAAAAATTTCACATATTGTTTAGTATATATCTATATTTTTGGCCTTATCTAAACCCATTAGCCAATCAAAATAACTTAAATATCACATGACAAGGGCATTCCCTTTGGACTTTAGGCATGCCCTTAGGGGCATGCCTCATGCCCCTGTGCCCTAAACCCTAGTTATACAGTAATGAAGGCCAGTTATATAAATTCCTCTCGATGTAGCGAATTTACTAATAGATTTCTCGGTATAATGAAGAAAATCTCACAGCCCGAACATTTCATTACAACGAGAGTGACTTGTATATTGATATATACTAGGGAAACAGAATCCATTGGGTTCCAGAGTACCGCTTTACTTCGAACAATGTTATTTCATGTGCCTAATATATCAATCACAATTGCCAGTATGTTTTCTTCTCTATAACTCTGACTAAATTAACAATATTACATTGTAAACCGATCTGTTTCCAATTGGGCATGATACCGAAGAAATCAATCCTACTTTTTTTTTTTTTTACAGATGATATGTGTAGCATGCGTGCGAAAAGTTAAATTTGAAGGACGATATATCATACCTGTTAAGTGATGTAAATAAAAGTCAAAATTTAAAGAACATATGCCAAGTGTCTGATAATGATTGATTGATTGATTGATTGCAACAATTCGGAATTTTTGCTTGTGCCCGTCTTATCCTACTCCCGGAACCCATCTAGATTTTTTTCTTGCCTAGTGTCGAGACTTAAGTTCCTCCGTTCTGTCCGGAAATTATGTAAGTCTCTATTTGGTGCAAATTCCATTACTAAATTGCTAACACTTAATGCTTTGTTTCGGGACAACGTGTGATACCATACTGTTTGAAAAAACTATTATCTGTACATTGAAAATAATTTTTTTAGTTAAATAAGTTATACTAGTGATTATTAATTCCAAATTTCATTCCATAAATTGTGGAATTAAAAAAAACGGTTGTGAAAATTATTTTCACGTTCTGGAAATAATACCCTGTACATCAATGCCATATATAGTTGGTATTCTAATATCTACAACCTTAGTCCTGAGTCAGTTATTGAAATAGCGATTTATGTTATATGCAATCGATATAAATATTTTTAAGTCTTGACATAAGACCTCCGGTAGAGTTAAACTTATACTGAAATAAGATTTACGTGTGTGTAATTATATACAAGATACATATATATATGCGACTAAGCCTCTAGTTCTTCGAGGATAAAATGTAAATCAAGTCGAAAATCAAACCAGACACATTGGAGATCCGAAAGATGACTGCCTCAAAATATTCTGGATGATCAGATCGATTAAGTGATTCGTCTTATAAAAAAAAAGTCTGAGAATATATATTTACCATGCGAAACGACATATTTTTGAAACATTGATTCTTGTTTAATTAAGTTAGTAATGATTGGATTAAAGAAAAGATTATGTATGAAATGGTATAACAAATAAAAATCTTTAAACATGATATTCTTTTAATAAATCACGTAGCTTTATTATAATTGAAAGAAAAAGAATTTTAAAAAATCTACAGAAAATAAAATCCAACCGTTCGTTCGTTCTACATACACAGATTAAATATAACTATGCTACATTCAAGTAATACCTTTTTTTATCCGTGAAAGATATTTTACAATCAACAAAATTGAATAAGAAAATAAATAAATAAATAAATAAATACGCTAAAGATTTTACAATTATATATTAAAAAAAAAATTATAATAATAAATTAAATCACGCTTCTCTTCATTTTTCTACCAATTCTAGCGTTACGTTTAGTGTTGAATGCTACATCTCTTTTGGTATTTCTTTTTACTTTTGAAGAGTTTGAAGGTTTTTGATGTATTACATAACCTCCAGGAGTAGTTGTTGTTGTTTCTTCACCATCAGGGGACGGAAAAGCCAAACGCTTGGTATTTTGATAACCTGGTTTGCATAATGCTGCAACGCTATCTGGCAGTGTAAGTTGTTTGATTTTGCTTTGCTGTTCGATCAGTTGAAATACCATCCCCAACTCAACATGCCACTGATAGTTAAAGAGTAAAACTGGATTAATAACGTCTTTAGAATATTTAGAATATATAATACAACGTAAAATATTACCTCTATGTGACAATGGAAAGCCCAAACACCAGGATTATTTATCATAAAACGGATTACTGCCCATCTATTTTTTATTATTATTATTTTTTTTTTAATAAAAAAGACCGATTAATTCAGGCAGAGAATAAAAAGAAAAAAAGTACGTATAGCAATTAATTACCCTCCACTAGGAATAGTAATTGTATCACGAAGAGGAGGGTCGACCAGATTATATAGCTTAGTATCAGGTTTCCCAGAACTACTTATTGCCATAATAAAGAAATTATGTCCATGCTGGTTACAATAAAACATTATAATAAACGAGTAGAAATAAGATTTTTTTTTTTTAAAAAATAACCACAAATATTAAAAAAATAATATAGTAAGTAGGAGCTTAAATGCTTACCAAATGGAAAGGGTGGTCTGTACCATTTAGATCTAAAAATTTAAAAGTATAAATTAAACATATGCGTGTAATTATATGTAAAACAATTATGATACTTACTTCTCAAAACAAGTTCCACTGTACCATTCTCAGTATCATACGCATATGCATTAGCATTAATAGGAAATGAAGTTACACTTTCGTTCTCAGCCATAATCTTCATAATTGAAGGATTTGTTATATCGGGAACCCAAGATTGTCCATTAATATAAGCTGTGGTGGTATTTCGACTGTTATAACCAATCGATATTGCAATATTAATTGGATCTGTAACTTTTTGGGGTGGTTCTACAGCTACATATGGTTTTATTAAATCAACAGCAAGATCCTGACATGGATAAAGATTATTAGACCAATCATCGTTGGTCATTTTAGATTTCGGTATGGTATCATTGGGTGCGCCATCATATCGTAAGATCCCTGTTATGTTATTATTATTAATAAGATCCGAGTCGTGATTTATCGTGTCAGGATCAGTCTCTATACAATCGTCTGGTATATTTGCACGTATCCAATAATTGTCGACATCTTGCGATGCTTCGACAATGACAGAGAACCGTTCGCCAATATGAATCGGTAAAACAGTAATATTTATTGGTTTTATACTAACACCATCAACTTCAATAACTTGTAACACATGTTGATCGATAGAAAACCAGAAAAAGGATTCGGCACTATTTTAAATTGAATAATTAATACATATATATATATATATATATATATATATCAAAATATACAAAATTTAATTTACCTCATGTTAATTATACGAAATCGATATCTTTTACCCTTCGTTACAGTATAAATCGCTGGCATATTATTAGGATCACATTGCGATCCACTCAGAGCTCTAGAACAATTATATTGACCTCTTCCACTGATAAGTCCAGAATCTGCTACAGGCTGTATAGGATATTTCATGATGATAACGATAAATAATATAATATTACTTGTATAATAGAATAATGGTAAAATAAAAATAAATTATTACTAACATTCATTCCTTGATAACCTGGTGCCAATCGCATTGCAACCAAGTCACTTGATTGTGTATGATACCAATCTTCAAGTGTAAGGACGTATTCATAATCATATTGACTTAGATAAGGATCATCAGGATCATTTATAATTAAGGGTCCACGTACACCATCAACATATTGAGAAAGATAATGTGAATGCCTTTAAAATATCAAATAATTTATAAATAATAGATTTTAGTAATAATGCTAGGTCGTGATTTTGATATGGTAATAATGTATTTACATAGAAACTTACCACCAATATGTTCCAACTTGGTCTGCGACCGTGAAATTATAAACAAACGAAACTCCGGGTAAAATAGGGCATTGCGTCTGACTAGGAAATATTAATTATAATAATTATAGTGCTTCACAATTATGTAGAATTAATGGACAGATATCAAAGAAATCAGAATCAGGCAGATTTATTAAAAGAATCTTCCTAATCTAATTTTCTATTGATACTGCTTAAATATTTAAAAAAAAAAACAAAAAAAACTTACCCTCCAACTCCGTCATACCAATTAGAGCCTAATTGAAATATTCCGTGCCAATGGATTGTGGCCGGATCTTTATGGTAGAAAGTTATTATGGTTATTATTTTTCTTAAAAATTATGAAAATAATTTAATTTTACCTTCTAAACCATTTGTAACATTTATAACAAGTCTATCTCCTCTGTTACAGTGAATTAATGGACCAGGATATTGACCTTTATAATAATAAAATTTTAGTATAAATACATATTCAAAAGGTTGAATTTGAGTTGAAAGTTGAAAAATTATCTAACCATTTACTGTCCAAACTTTTCGCGTATAGCCATCAGGGGCTAGATTCGTGTATCCTAAAACGAAATTAAGATTAATTTCTTGTGGGTCCTTGGTGGTAATTGGTGTTAATGGTTGTAAAAGTTCTAGGGTAGTTGTTGG